TATATATATATATATATATATATATATATACACACACACATTAGTGGTGTCAAAATTAGCGCGTTAACGCAGGAGATTAATTTTTTCAGTTTAACATGTTAAAAATATTTAATGCAATTAACGCAGGGGTGGGGCTAGGGTTGGCCACCCCACTCACAACTGCTGCTTCTGTCACTTTTTCTCATGACAAGAAGTGCATTTATTCAGTCGCAGAACGACTGAGAACGGGAGACATTTCAGACGTTCACTCCACTTCACTTCAGCGCCAGGCGCGAGTCAAACGAGCGAGGAAACGGCTCTTCAATTGCATGCATAAAGACGCCGGCGCACGCTGTAGCCAGTATCCTTTCATATCAAAGCGCGAAATAAACTATGTGCATGCAATGTCATGGTCAGTTAAGTCATGAAGTTACCAAAAAGCTGCCTTAAAACTGTGCATGCATGTAATATATTTTATGTGTCACATTTAATTAAGAACATGTCTCTGAAATGGCTTTCAAAACGGTCCTGGAGCAGCCCAGCACTGTCTAATACACCCGATTTAACTCGTCAGCTCATTAATAGAGACTTTAAGACCTGAAGTGGGTCAGAAAAGGTAAAAAGAGTTGGTTTTATAATGGGTTTATGTGAAGGTTGTTTTATTTTTTTAAAGTCTAATAAATGTCAAAATTGATAGTTCTGAATTATACTGTAATGTTGAATGGCTAGTCATGTTGAATAGTCAATGGTTAAATATTAGGGGGGGGGGCAATTTTATATTGGTATCATTGATACTGGCCTTCAGTCATAAAAAAACAAATATTAAAAAATATACTATCTTTATGTTGTTTGTACATTCATTTGAAGATTGAATGTGAAAATTATTGCAATATAAAAGTATATTTAAAAACTTAATATTAGGTGGGATTAATCGCGATTAATTTCAGAATAATGTGTGATTAATTAGTAAATTTTTTTTAATCGATTGACAGCACTATATATATATATATATATATATTTTTTTTTAGGTCCTGAAACTGGTCAATTTAATTGAGGTTTTCTAACGTTTTTTTGTTTTTTTTGTAAGGATTGCAGGGAAACAGTGTTTTCAATAATTATATACATTTTATGGCATATATCTAGGTACAGTTCTGCTCGTAAGTTTATATACCCCTGCAATTTTCCTTCTTATTTTGTTAACATTTTGCATATTCTGCAAGATGTATGTAAACTTATGAGCAGAACGGTATATATTGCACAAAAATGTTGGAAATTTCAGTGTCTTTAAAGGCCAATTCAAGGTTTTTTGTTTTTGTTTTTTTAACTAAAATGGTTGGGAAGCCCTGCATTAGAATGTTGCATAAACCATTTCAATGCTTGTCGTTTTCTTGTCGGTGTGATGTAAAATCCAGCGTTGTGATGTCAGCAGGGCCCATCTGACTGTGATTGATAGGTTACAACCTTCCTCAGAGGTATTGTACAAGCAAAAGAAAGCGGATACAAAAGTGTACATGGTTTCTGACAGAGCCCTGACGAAAAAGCAGAAATTGCTTTTTCTTTCCAGCCAGCAGAATTATGGGGGATAACAGGTTTTGTCAAAACCGCTTCATACATAATGACACTATAAGGCGATACATTTGTGAAAGGGCAGAGAAACTGGCTGGGATGCATATTGAATCATACAGTACATGTTTCCTTTGAAGAAGAAAGTAATCTATTGGTAACTTTAATGTATATTGCACTGACATATAATGGCGGCATTGGCTTATTCTAATTTCATATTGATTGTTTCATTATGTATTCAGGAAAGTTTTCAGTTTGGTTTAATACTCATCTAATGTACTGCAAAATTCATTTTTAAGTGTGTTGTAGGCATCCAAATACTTTACTGGACTGAAGTGACAAAATTGAAATCCTTATTTTATACTTTTCAGAGCTCATGGTCCAGATGCAATGATCCTGGTTGACGGAGAGCCACTGCAGACCAATGGGGAACTGGGTTTGTCTCAGATGCTGCACATAGCCAGTCAGATTGCATCAGGGATTGCCTACCTGGCGTCTCAGCACTTTGTGCATCGTGACCTGGCCACACGCAACTGCCTGGTGGGCAACGGGCTGCTGGTGAAAATCGGAGACTTTGGAATGTCAAGAGACATCTACAGCACTGACTACTACCGGGTAAGAGCGCTTTCGCTTTTGTAAATGCTTGAGCGAAGTACACTACCAGTCATAAATTAAGTTAGTAGGAATATATAATGCTTTCTGAAAGAAGTCTCCTATGCATCTCACACAGGCTGCATTTACTTGATCAAAAATACGGTAAAAACTGTAAAATTGTGAAATATTATTACAATTTTAAAATGTAATTTATTACCGTTATAGCAAAGCTAAATTTTTCGGCAGCCATTACTCCATTCTTCAGTGTCACATGATCCATCAGAATCATATTCCATATCTTAATATTATCAATATTAATAGGAAAGTTTTTGCTGAATATATTTTTGGAAACTGTGATTCAATAGTTCAATAGTAATGATTCTATTCAATAGTTTGGATTAATTAGTAAATTTTTTTTAATCGATTGACAGCACTATATATATATATATATTTTTTTTTTTTTAGGTCCTGAAACTGGTCAATTTAATTGAGGTTTTCTAACGTTTTTTTGTTTTTTTTTGTAAGGATTGCAGGGAAACAGTGTTTTCAATAATTATATACATTTTATGGCATATATCTAGGTACAGTTCTGCTCGTAAGTTTATATACCCCTGCAATTTTCCTTCTTATTTTGTTAACATTTTGCATATTCTGCAAGATGTATGTAAACTTATGAGCAGAACGGTATATATTGCACAAAAATGTTGGAAATTTCAGTGTCTTTAAAGGCCAATTCAAGGTTTTTTGTTTTTGTTTTTTTAACTAAAATGGTTGGGAAGCCCTGCATTAGAATGTTGCATAAACCATTTCAATGCTTGTCGTTTTCTTGTCGGTGTGATGTAAAATCCAGCGTTGTGATGTCAGCAGGGCCCATCTGACTGTGATTGATAGGTTACAACCTTCCTCAGAGGTATTGTACAAGCAAAAGAAAGCGGATACAAAAGTGTACATGGTTTCTGACAGAGCCCTGACGAAAAAGCAGAAATTGCTTTTTCTTTCCAGCCAGCAGTATTATGGGGGATAACAGGTTTTGTCAAAACCGCTTCATACATAATGACACCATAAGGCGATACATTTGTGAAAGGGCAGAGAAACTGGCTGGGATGCATATTGAATCATACAGTACACGTTTCCTTTGAAGAAGAAAGTAATCTATTGGTAACGTTAATGTATATTGCACTGACATATAATGGCGGCATTGGCTTATTCTAATTTCATATTGATTGTTTCATTATGTATTCAGGAAAGTTTTCAGTTTGGTTTAATACTCATCTAATGTACTGCAAAATTCATTTTTAAGTGTGTTGTAGGCATCCAAATACTTTACTGGACTGAAGTGACACAATTGAAATCCTTATTTTATACTTTTCAGAGCTCATGGTCCAGATGCAATGATCCTGGTTGACGGAGAGCCACTGCAGACCAATGGGGAACTGGGTTTGTCTCAGATGCTGCACATAGCCAGTCAGATTGCATCAGGGATTGCCTACCTGGCGTCTCAGCACTTTGTGCATCGTGACCTGGCCACACGCAACTGCCTGGTGGGCAACGGGCTGCTGGTGAAAATCGGAGACTTTGGAATGTCAAGAGACATCTACAGCACTGACTACTACCGGGTAAGAGCGCTTTCGCTTTTGTAAATGCTTGAGCGAAGTACACTACCAGTCATAAATTAAGTTAGTAGGAATATATAATGCTTTCTGAAAGAAGTCTCCTATGCATCTCACACAGGCTGCATTTACTTGATCAAAAATACGGTAAAAACTGTAAAATTGTGAAATATTATTACAATTTTAAAATGTAATTTATTACCGTTATAGCAAAGCTAAATTTTTCGGCAGCCATTACTCCATTCTTCAGTGTCACATGATCCATCAGAATCATATTCCATATCTTAATATTATCAATATTAATAGGAAAGTTTTTGCTGAATATATTTTTGGAAACTGTGATTCAATAGTTCAATAGTAATGATTCTATTCAATAGTTTGGGGTAAGAAATGTATATTTTATTCATTAAAATTATGAAATATCATATTTATTGAAATATCATGGTTTGCACAAAAGTATTAAGCAGAAAAATAAAATAAAATAACAAGCATTATTAATATGTGAGCACCAATACTAATTGATAATAATTGAGCATCAAATCAGCATATTAGCATGATTTCTGAAGGATCATGTGACACTGAGGCAGTCTAAACCTGTATTTAGTTCATTGATTAGTCATCAAATATCCACAAAACACAAATTAACCCTTTGTCAATTGGTGGCCTATGCTAGATCCTTAATTGCATGCATAATTACTAATTTTAATGACTTTTGAAAAGTTATATTGATATATCCAGCTGCTTTAGTGCTTTGAAAGACGTTAATTAATTAGTTTATTTACAATCATTAGCTTAGTCATACCAAGTGTTAATTAAGAACAAGGTTTAAAAAAATCTGCATATTTGCTTATTCAAGTTAATTTCAAGGTATTAAAAATACTAACATAAATACAAACAAACACAGCAAATTAAACATTTGACCAACATCTAAATCATACACACAGCTCTGAATACAATCTTTGACGAGCTATGACCATTTATTAGGTATTTTAAAAATACACTTTAGATGTTAAAAGAACTGATTATCATATTCTTGATTTCCAAAAATAACTTTGTAGATGAGGATTCACAACTATATTAGATTTAAACTGAATAGCTTTAAAGGGATTTTTTCGATGAACTATTCCTTAAACGTTTGAGTGTGAATTCAGACTTTTATCTACAGTTCTGATTCATTCAAGCTGGTTGGCTCAATTATGTGCTTCAGATCCATTTGCGCTTCTACAGAAGATCCTCAATCAGAATCTTGTCTTTTCTTGACACAGACAGAGGCCTCTCGGTAGATTTGGCCTAGATGACAGAGGGCTCAATTTGCAAGCTGAGGGCCCTAAATGAATTAAAATGTATGTCTTCACTTAGCGCTCAACAAGAGGATGAATGAGGTGACGCTGAATTTACAGAGCTCCCCTTTCGCTCGACTAGATTAAGTTGATTTGAACATGATTGTTCATCTCGCTGCTTTGAATGTGACTCCCATTTTTAGGGCACTGAAGTTAAATGAGAATTTTTTTCACTGTCAGAAGTCAAGGAATAACTCAGGAGCCAAACATAAAGCAAACGGCTCAAGTAGCATATATTCAGATGTTATCGGTGGCTTGTGCTGGACTTTTGAACTGGGGAGACGAATGCCATACTATATACATTATTAGAAACAAGCCACATCAAAAATCTAAATGGGTTTTTATTATGCATTACATACAAATTATTTTCATACAATATTTTTATATTGTATAATATAGTTTTTTATTTAGTATTATTCAATAATAATAATAATGTTTTTGTTGTTTTATGCAGATTATGTTACAAATATTATTATTATTTTGTGATTAGTTTGTTTATATATAGATTGATTTTATTATTTATTTATGATATGTGTTAATCTTTATTATAGCATTTTTTTATTTTTACATTATTACATTGTGATGACAAGCATATGGGAGACAAAAAAATGGATATCCAATCTTGGACATTGTGAAACTGACTGAAAGCAAGAAAAGATTGTGAACACTTTAGAGGAAGAGGGGGGGGGGGGGGCAGAAGCTGTTTACAGACTTGTGCCTCAGAAAATAAAATATTTCTAAATGCAGAACCTTCAGTAGACATGGGTTGTTGCTGTGCCCAGAGCATCAATCCTAATTGCAATGGAGGAAATATGTTACATTAACAGTAAATGTCAAATAGACCATTGCATCTCATCTCACTTAATATATTCTGTGGCTTACTTTCTTTTAATGGCACTATGAAATGGCAGATTGCACTCTGCAGCACAAAAGAGACTGCATTAAATTTAACGTTCCCAACAAACAGGAAGTGACCCAAACCCAAAACATACATGCGGCTGCGAGGCAATTTGCATTGATGCATAAATATGAGCAGCATGAGATATATATATATATATATATATATATATATATATATATA